TGGTAAGCGGTTACCGTAGCCTATGAACGCTTGCAATACCAGAGGCATTACGCGCGCGTTGCCGACCCTGAAGAAACCTCTTTACCCCCCCCTTTTGAAGAACCCCATGCTGTAATGTAACAGTAATCTTGCATTTTTATTTCGATATCTCTGGACATACGTTACACTTATATAAAAAATATGTTATAAGTCTATGGTCTTATTATACCTATGTGTCCTGTAACTTCACTGTCAAATGCCAGTCTTCAAATCGCAACACAGCTATGTATGCACAGCTATTTCAATGAGGGAAACACTGGTGGCACAGTGGTACCCGTGCAAACCATTTTTTTTTTTGAGAAAGGGATTGTTAGTAATGGAGACTGAGAACCCCATTGCTAGCAATATACCTAACCAGGTCGACCACCTCGCGGTTCTCCCTGGAAACTATCATGGTTAATTCCTGATGAATTCATCATGATGGACTAACTGGCCTGCTTTCATTCTCATCTATCACCCTTCACTGGTGCTCCGCCAGCGTATCCCGTTAGCGCAGGCGGGGTTACCATACCATTTTCACCCATCAAAAAAAAAAAACAATTTTTTTATAGTTTTTCTCTAGTAAGTTGGTCTGATTTTATTGTTTGTTTTCAGCGACCCAAATCCCCGCGGCAACGAGCTGCCGGAGCTGTCGACACTGCAGTGGCCGGCCATGACTCCGACGGCGCGCAAGTACCTCAAGTTCGACCGACAGTTCACAGTCGAGGAGAACATGTTCGAGGACAGGTTCAAAGTGTGGGAAGAACTGTACCCTGTTGAATATTAAAGTACAGTTTGATTAAAGAAAACCAACTTTTGTTATACTCGGTTAATTAGAATCAATAAACACTATTTAATTTGGATAGTAGTTATGTTCTTTTAAAACTACCCACATATGTATAGGATAATCTTTAGTAATAGTATTGTTGAAGATTGCAAAATTTCTTTGATAAAAATAATATATCTATTTTTATTTTATTTATTTAACACTTTATTGCACCAACATAACATGATTTGTTGAACAATTTTCAATACGTATAGTGTAGTACAAAAGGCGGTCTTATTGCTAAGCAATCTCTTCCAGACAACCTTTGGGTAGAAGGAATTAAAGCATGAATAGGTAGGTGGCGCGTTAAAAAAAATAGATTTGTAAAAAATAATATCTGTGACAGCATAGTCATATACACATACATAAATAAACACATACATTCAAACATATACATACATATATACACATATACAGCTTATTTTTTTTTCTATCAGTCACTGTTCTCTTTTTGTTTTTTCTTGGCACAATTTCTATCTAAATATACGGAAGCTATTAACTATTACAAGACAATTATTTATTTATTATTTACCATAAAATTGAGAATTCCGTTATACTCTCCAACTATTATAAAATGTTTTTTTTTTTTATACAACTTAGAATGGCGAACAAGCTGACGGCCCACCTGATGGTAAGTGGTAACCGTCGCCTATAGACATGAGCAGTACCATGGATATAACAGAGTATACTGTTTCGCTCGTGATACTCCCCATGCGTTGCCATTCCTGAGGACTCAGGTGTTATTCCTCTGTACCGTGTAATTTCACTGCCATATCCCACCCTTCAAACCGAAACACAGCCATGCAAACACAGCTGCTTCACGGTAGAAACACGAATGGGACAGAGGTGCACAAGCAATCGACTTTTGTACAAAGTCTCCCTCTGGTTTACTTGCTGTCTGGTTTTATTTACTGTAAAATTGTTTTATGATATCTTTTTATAACTTATAAAACATACTGAATACGAAATTCTTAGGAATGGTATTATTTAAAATCGAAATGAAACGCAGAGGGAAGGACGTGTATGCTTATATTTACAATATGTATGTATGTATGTATGTATGTCTGGTACAACATACATTAGAATACAACATGGTACAGACAATTACTAATTCTAATCATTCGCCGGCGCCTAGGAATCTTATATTTGTAATTTTGACACAAAAAAAATTATACATTCATCACTAGATTTTATATAATCAAAACTACAGCGCCACAAGTATAAAGCGGTGGTCATTTTCGGAACTAACATGTTATCTTGAAGTTTGCAAATTCTAAATTTAAATTATGGTGGACATATCAAACAGCGCCATCTTGTGTCACACTAAGCAAAACTTATGTGTACTAGACATTATAATATACATAGACTCTTACATAATTACATAGGAAACACCCACACTAATACAAACAAAAAAAAAACAAGACTGTTGACTGAATAGATTTATTTCACGTTTACAAGATGGTTATTTATACTTGTGACACTGTATACAAGTACATAGACGACGACCCGTCGTCGGTCTGTGGCAGGGCGCCATTTCTATTTAATATTTAAGGGGAAAGCAGTCGGCACAAAACAGTGCATTACTAAAATATTGACAAACCCATAAAGTATCGATCCATTACATTGGATATTCCATACATTGTTACATGACACTAAAATATTTAGAAAGCCGATTACAGTAACTGCACAACATTGTAACAATATCATAGACAAATAAAATACATTTTTTTTTTCACGGCAATAATACATATAAACATAGAATGTAAACATTTTTGGCGCGAAATTCGAATCGAGATTTTTAAATTTAAATTTAGAATAACGTGACATACTGATATCGGCACTAAAGTATAATAACCGCCATTAGAAGGCGTAGCACGGTCATTCAGCGCGCGACTACAATACGTAAGCACTCCACAAAGTAAGTTTAATTAATAATAATAAAAAAAATATCATCTACATTATATTAATGAGCTCAAATTATAATATAAATTTTGTTCTTTACTTGTCTCTTTTAGTTAGAAAACCAACTTAAATTAAGGCAAAAGAACTATCTCTGTACAGCCATATCTGATGTTTTTCACCTTCACACTCACGTTATATACCGGATAAAGCAGTAAAAATCGATGTTAGGTTCAACAATACATTCAATATTTTAAGTGGATAGAAAAAGTTAATTAAAAAAAAATCATACAAACTAAGAATGGTGTAGAAACTAATAATGTAACAATACTTATATTTTTTTATAAGCAAGTTCCTTGCTTCACATGTAACCTATAATCTAACAAACCATCCAATTTTTTAATAATTATTATCATAAATTATTACAAAAATTAAATAAATACACAAGAAGTCGTTTCTGAGAAGCCAATTGTAAGATGAAAATATATTAACTACCAGTTTAACATGTGTGTAATTAGATAAAGCTCGACTAGTTTCGAAATCAATCCGTGATCCTTAGTCATGAGCGGCTGTGATGCGAGCGCGAGCCTGACCGTACGCCACGGCAGCCTTTACATTAAAATATAATACGTGCTTATGAAATTTCTAACAATGAAAATCACTATGAAATCGTCATTGTAAGGACCAATATGGACTTTTAAAATTATTTTAGTCTATAGAACTGTAATTTGCTAAGAATTGGCGTCTTAGAATCGGCCTCATAGTCATGCTAACATTCACTCTAAAATCCTTAATATTAATAAAAAAATTCGTTTTGACGAGTATCATGGCATTATGGCTTAGGTCTGACATTATTTATTGTATTAAAAAAAAATATGTGCCCACATACTGACGAAACTGGAATTAGATTCTATGCAACAAATAAAATAAACACAGTAAAATAAATATTCATATTCCTGTACAATTACTTATACATAGCCACTTTACAGTGTAAAATATTCAAATGTAATAAACTGGTTGCATAGATTTATTATGCTTTATTGTACAATAAAAATTGGTACGAGTGGCGAGCTTAATGCCGTATGGCGTTCTCTACCAGCTAACCGTTAGGTAAAAACAGAAATCGTTTGAGGGCAGTAGTGGCGAATATACATTACACGATACAATACGAAATATTGTTTTTTTTTTTTTAAGTGTCAAAGACCGCACGCTACACAGATCTCATTATCACAATCGAGTAAATACGTCAGTGACATTAATACTTTATTGTTTGTTCTACAACTCGCTTCAAATTATTCTACTAGAGTATTTCTAGATATTTTATCACATAGTCACAATAACTAAAAAGTAGTCAATTTTCATCTCCAAGAATTATAATGGTATAAAAAACCTTGATATTATTACGTACATATATTTAAAGTAAGATTATATTAATTAATTGATATTCAAGTAATAAAATGCTTAAAACATCTCCTTTAACCTTGTTAAAAATAAAAGTATCCTATCTAATCGATTTTGTGATCAAAATTTGATCATTTTTATAAAAGCAACATCACTATTTATATAAAAAAAGAAAAGTATAATAAAAATTTATAAAAAAAAATGAAGTGCTTACATTTGTCGCGAAAAGAACAAGGTGCCGAATCGAGCGTGTTTCCATCTTGTTGGTAGCAAATTGGAACATGCTCGTTTATTAGAAAGGTATGCAAGGCGATAGGCGAAGTCTCACATCAGCCGCCATATTGGATTTGTGATGACGTCATATACAAAATCATTAGTATTTTTAAGGAGGTATTCTACCACAGATACTGAACGTTCTTCCAAAAGGAATACGGATTGAAACAAAGAATTTCATTAATAGGAATATGTGTTTTAAATCCACTATTATAGAGGGCAGCACCATCACGATTTGCCATTAACAAATAAAAAAAAAAAATTTAAAAAAAATATCAATCGATTTATGAATCCTTTTTCGGAGTTATTTTTAAAAAAAAAAAATCGATTGAACTTTTATCTTTTTTAAAAGACACCATTTTCTAAGGACTTAAATTTTTTTTTACTTAGGCAAACAAGCTGACGGCCCACCTGATGGAAAGTGGTAAGCGTCGCCTATAGGCATGAGCAGTACCATGGACATAACAGTAAACACACATACTGTTTCGCCCATGATACCCCCCATGCGTTGCCATTCCTGAGGACTCGGGTGTTATTCCTCTGTACCCAGTAAATTCACACCATATCCCACCCTTCAAACCGAAACACAGCCATGCAAACACAACTGCTTCACGGTAGAAACACGAATGCGACAGAGGTAGCCAAGCAATCCACTTTTGCATGAAATCTACACACGTAATCTTTTAGAACCCACAATGGCGGGGTAACATTATGGCATATACTCTGACGTAACTATAAAGCACTGTCGCCTCGCATACAAAATATACAAGCCGCATGCACTACATGCACGCATTTGTACTTTAAATAGAAACATTTATAACTATTTTACAATATTCTAACAATTTCATATAGGTATAATAATATTTTGATACAATTTTACCTTTATGGCAACATTTGTAACTATGTTCCTTCACACATCACACACAGCTTATACGCAATAGCAATAATCGATTATAAAAAATACATTTCGATTTAAATAAAAAATAAAAACATATATCAATGTACAATATCAGATTTATTTATTTTTTTTTTTATCAAAGGAAACAATTAAACCAGCGAGATTCAGAACACTGGCAACAATACTACTTTTATTTTTTATTGACGAGCCAAAGTAAACAATTATATACAGCTATAATCTCGCAAAGAAGTTTATGACATCACTATTATGTAAATAGTACGTATATTTGTTCTGTCGCAGATCGTGTCTAGATAAATATATAATCATATTATTTATAATTTAAAAATTATACACACATATATATATATATAAACTGTAATATAAATAGATAAACGTTTATTGCAATTTTATGGCATAAAAAACCCATAAAAATCACTAACTTCTACTTTATAATTATAAAATATGTAATTAGCTTTTTAATGGCCCACATGTGGGGCAAAAAAATCCAGTAGAACTCTTGTCTATGCCAAAAGCGAATTGAGTAAAACTCCAAAACATGTAAGGCATGGCATATAACAAATGACATTTTCCATTCAGGAATTGCATAACCGGATAACGGCTTAGATTTGTAGATTTCATAAATTGTTTTAAAGCCTACGCCATCGACTGCATTAATAAACTGCACTACACAATTTTAATGTATTAATTACTTATACGTATATAGTGCGACTAACAAAGCTATAGCCTGACAACTTCGAACGCAGTACTGCGTAGTGACAGCGCTGGGCGCTTGGAAAGTAAGGAAAGTAAGGAGGCATGATTAATACTTACGAAACGTAAATTTGACCTCACCAAATAAGACTTGTACGCGTTTAGAGATCACGGTTACCATCTTTTGAGGTTGAGTCTTGTATTTAAACACGTTTTTTGTGGTAATGAAGAGAAAAGTGCGTCTAATCCAAAAATAGAGTTGCCCCTCTTTCTTCAATACCTGTATGTCAATAACGCAGTAGCGCCGCGAGCGAAGTTGTCTGGCTACACTATGACTATGTAAGTCAGTATTAAAAGTAGTATTGTTCCGTTAACATTATTTGTTCAGCAAAACTATCGCATCGCCGTTCACTAGCTGGCGCATTTGGTCTTCCCGTCTAACAGCTTCCGCCACAGGTCGAACTGCTCGTGATACCTCACCATATGTATGGCCACTCCCCTCTGAACCGCGCACGGGTGGGCGGCCACCTTCTTGTTGTAGAACTCGGGGGCGTGCTGCCGCTTTATGCCCAGCTTGTTGGCGAGCACGCCGGTCACGAACACGTCCTCGAGCCGCAGGTAACGCTCCGACGGCGCAGCCGCCAGCAGCATCCTAATCGCGTCAGCGGTCATCAAATAAGCCGGCCCCGTCGCGAAATCAGGAAACACCTTACCCGGAAACTGCAATGGTGATACGTAGTACTTCGACCGAGTCGTCCGCTTCGGCAGCGACTTCTTGACCACCTTGCCCCAGATCGTCTTCGTCGCGTTGACGCGCGACGGCGCCGACGCGAAGTCGAGCAGCTTCGGCACGTTTATGAACATGTCGTCGTCCGTTTTGAGGATCTTCGGCACGCGCGGGCAGTACGTGTCCACCCACTCGAGCATCGACAGCGTTTTGAGGGTGAGATTCGAGTAGGAGTCCATGAAGCGGCCGATTATGATGTCGCCGTAGAGGGCGTCCTCCGCGTCGACCGCGGGCCGCATCTTGTCCGGCGGCACGCCGAGCACGAAGGCCAGCGCGACGTCGGCCCGCGCCGCGTAGTGTCCCCACGTGAGCCGCACGGCGTCGCGCGCGGCCGCGTGCGACGGCGCCGACGTCACCAGCATCAGCAGCCGCAGCCGGCCGCCCAGCGCGGGGCACAGCTCGGGGTGCGGCTTCTCGTGGCCGGCCACGTACACGTCGTTGGTGATGACGGGGCCGGGCTGCGCCGGCTTAGGGCCGAGCGGGGCCGGCGCCGGGGCCGGCGCCGGGGCCGGCTTCGGGGAGGGCGGCGGCGTGTGCACGAGCGGGGCCGGCGGCGGCGCGGTGCGGTTGGTGGTGGTGGAGGGCGCGGCGGTGGAGGCGGGCGCGGGGGGCGGGCGGGGCCGCGCGGGGGGCGGCAGGCGCGCCAGCAGCAGCAGCACGAGCGCGCCCACCGCGCCCAGCGCCGCGACGTGCGAGCGCCGCACCGCGCCCATCGCGCCCTCACCTTACGACGTTACACACCTGGAATTGGAGAGCACGTCGTCAGCTATATGCATGGACTTCATCACTATTAACGTCAAATTGCTGAACACGTATCTCTTACCGTGAGGGAGAGGATTACCTCCGGTTACCCCATGGAATGCAATAGAAGATGCCAGACTTATAAGGAGCAAACGGATCAATCAATCAAACTATATATCGTTAATGAGTCCATGAGATAGAGTGAGATGACAATATGTGGTGTCCTGTTCCTTCTCATAGGAGTACTAACCGAAACAACTTTGTCGATTGATTCGTTAGTTATTTGTCTAGGCTAGCTTATTTTCCTAGCCGCCTCCTACGACTTCCTGGACATGTGAAGATGTGGTGATACATTATATTTTCATTCTGCCACTACTTGAAGATATTTAGAGTACTTTCCGCTTAAAAACAATAAAAGAACTGACTAAATGATGCGGCGGGCGATAGATCATAAAAATCATCATTTCAGCCATTATCCGTCCACTGCTGGACATAAGCCTCCCCCATAGATTACCATAAAGAACGGTCCTGAGCCACCTGCATCCACTGACTCCCTGCAATGCATTTCAGGTCGTCACTCCATCTAGTGGGAGGTCCTCCTACACTGCGTTTACCCGCACGCGGTCGTCACTCAAGAACCTTTATTCCCCGTCGGTTGTCGAATCTTCGAGCTATGTGACCAGCCCATTGCCACTTCAGCTTGCTTATCCTTCGGCCTATATCGATGAGTTTGGTTCTTTTGCGGATATCCTCGTTTCGAATTCTATCACGCAAAGACTCCAAGCATAGCGCTCTCCATAGCTCGCTGAGTAACTTGTAGCTTTTACATACGGGCAATTGTGTAGGACCATATTTCGGTCCCATAAGTCATCACTGGCAACACGCACTGGTTAGAGACCTTCGTCTTAAAAAAAACTTACTATAAAAAAAGATTGTCCCATTTCCCACAGAAACTTTATCAAAATCGGTTCAGTCGTTCGTTTTTTTTCTTATATAATAACCCCCAAAATTGATAACGTCATCAGTCACTGTAGCATTGATAACAAATATGAACGTGCGCGTGAGCATACACACGAGGCATACGGCAGCAAGGATATGATATTAATTGCCTTTGATACCGAATTGATGACTCCGTCACGAGTTGCGATGACCTTACGCACTTCACGAACGATATATGATCATCATTGCCGAGTATTTGTCGTGTAATTATAGTATTCGAAACGGTATTCGCAAGGCCGGCATATTTATTCTAGTTAGAACTAAGGTTCTTACGCATTTCATTGCTTATAGTTCTCTAAGTGGAAGGAAGGAACCCTGAGTTTTTTACACAACTGTGATGACATCATATCATATACATTTTTTTTTAATAATCATTAAAATAAGTGTATGTATATATATATATATATATATTTTTTTTTTTGATGGGTGAAAATGTTATGGTAACCCCGCCTGCGCTAACGGGATACGCTGGCAGAGCACCAATGAAGGGTGATAGATGAGAATGAAAACAGGCCAGTTAGTCCATTATGATGAATTCATCAGGAATTAACCATGATAGTTTCCAGGGAGGACCGCGAGGAGGTCGACCTGGTTGGGTATATATATGTATATATGTATATATATATATATATATATATATATATATATATATATATATATATATATATATATATATATATATATATATATATATATATATATATATATATATATATATATATATACATACTACAACATATTGCATTATAACATATAGGTTTTTATGTTATTAAATACAATACAATATTAATACACATGCCTATTATAGGTATTCACAGCATTTACTTTAACATAATTATACAGTGCGTAAATGAAGTAACAATTATAATGATAATGATAATGAATTAAATAACAATAGACTACAAATATTTATATATATATATATATATATATATATATATATATATATATATATATATATATATATATATATATATATATATATATGGTATTTTTTATAAGAACTGTTATATCGATATACTTTTAATAAATAGTTATAAGGCGTTGTAGGTGAATAGTTTACCGAGTCAGGCAGTTTGTAAATTTATTTTTTTAAATATAGTTCTTATTAAAAAAAAAAGAAAACTACTTTTCAACTTGGAACAAACAAGACACAATTCCATTAAAATAGACTTGAGCAGTTTCGGAGATTAGCGTAAACGTACATCGTGACGTGGGATTCTTATAATTTACAATTTTATACACAAAATAAAATTATTCGGTCATTTGGTTGCTGATAAATGTGCAAATTAGATATTTTTTTAATGTCAAATTAGTCATCATACAGTTATTTATTAGCTCATTACCGGATTGTATAATTTTGTATGAGAAACAACATATTCACAACTTATTCATTTACAACATGTATTTTTTTACACCATTTAGGTGGGTAACAATACAACCCACCTGTCAGGCGTTTACCGTTGAACACCTGCAATACTAGGGGTATATCGCGCGAATTACCTACCCTAAAGATTTGCCCTTTTTTAGAAGAACCCCATGCTATAGTCTTGGAAAAACTTCGACAGGGAGCTCATTCCATAACCTAACCGTTCGTGGGAGCAAGTATCTTTGAAACCGCGCTGTACGCGATCATCCAGGCTCTAAGGTACGCGGGTGAACTCACTGTCGGATATTAAGGTGTCTAATGCGATGATAATGGAATGGTAACTCCGCCTTTAGTATCGATCTACGCTGGCTGAGACTGGTACTCAGAGAGAGAGATGATAGGTGAGGATGAAGTCCGATCAGTTGGCCTGTTGCAACGTTTTCACTAGGAATCAAAGATGGTTTCCATGAAGGAACACGTGGAGGTCTACCTGATAAGGTGTATATTACGAAAAATAGCAATGAGGATTAACCCGTCCCGTGTGGTCTCGGTATAAATTAGGCCGCCCCTTCGTAAGAGCCAACTAAGGGAATGGCAGCAACGTCCCTCTTAAAAAGTCTTCAAAGCCTAACTACGGTTGCCAATCCGCCTGCCAAGCGTGGCGACCACTGGCAAGGACATGGGGGAGGTTCATGTTCAGCAGTGAACAGTCAACAGCTGATATGGTAATGATGATAAATGTAATTGTTTATATATATATATATATATATATATATATATATATATATATATATATATATAAAAGTATATATATATATATATATACTTTTACAGAGTATCTATCTATTAATCACAAAAATTACTGAAACATTTTGATAAAATCCCAATAGATAACAACGTGGGTAAATCCATGCACAACAACTAGTAATGAAATGTAAAATACAATTACATATATTTACCGTGAAGTAAATATAACAGACATTGGCGAGAAGCCATTTACAACGAGTTTATTTCGACTGTCGGTACGTAAAGCACTTTTTAAAATCACCTATGTACCTACGCAATTGTCCTACATACAAGAATAAATAGAGTTTTTTTTTAATGGATGATAATGGAATGGTAACCCTGCCTGCGCTATCGGGATACGCTGGCGGAGCACCAGTGAAGGGGGATAGGTGAGGATGAAGCAGGCCAGTTGGCCCATCGTGACGAATTCAACAAGAATTCGTCACAAGTTTCTAGGGGGAACCACGTAGAGGTCGACCTAATAGGGGATATTGCTAGCAATGAGGCTGTCAAACTCCATTGCTAACAATCCCTTTCCACCCCAAGGTAAATAGAGTTTCGACAGCGTCTGTATATACAAGTATACAATAAGAAAAAAAAAAAGTAAAAATGTAGTAGTAGAAAGTGTCCAATGATAAAAAATAAATAATTACATTTTAGAATACAATAGAATAAAAACATTTATTGCCATACAATTACAATATAAAATATAAATAACATATACAAAAAGTGTTCCATCCTAGGCAAAAGGAACCGGCTCAGTTGATTTTTTTTTACAACACAGGGGGGCAAACGAGCATGCGGCTCACCTGATGGTAAGTGACTACCGCCGCCCATGATCACCCGCAACACTAGAGGCATTGCAGGTGTGCTGCCGGCCTTTTAAAAAGGAATATACTCTTTTCTTGAAGGTTATGTTGTCGTATCGGTTCGGAAATACTGCTGCTGGAAGTTGATTCCAAAGAGTGGTTGCAAAGATGCTGTGAGTGACCCAGCGCAGTGTGAACAGCTGCACAGCGCTGGTTTTCAGCCAGTCCCTCTCTTAACAAAACATAACCAAAGTGCAGGGTACAACTGTAAATTGTTTCTTACAAGAATCATTTCTCAAATATACTAATTAAAAAAAAAAGGAAAGAAGTTTCCTTTCGTGCCTATATTTGACACATTTTTATTTTCTTTTATATATCATCATCATCGTCATATCAGCGTTTAACTGCCCACTGGTGGACATAAGCCGCCCTCTTAGAGGGCTTTGCCAGTAGTCGCCACGCTTGGCAGGCGATTTGGCAACCGCAATTAGGCTTTAAAGATGTTTTTAAATGGGACGCTGCTGCCCATCCCTCGACTTTTAAGTTCCCATAGTCGCCTCTTACGACACCCACTGGAAAGGCAGGGGTGGCCTACTACTATGTCGCGACCACACGGAAATATTGTAATCAAGTTCCCTTGATTACCAGAGGGAGACTTTGTACAAAAGTCGTTTGCTTGGGCCACCTCTGTCCCATTCGTGTTTCTACCGTGAAGCAGTTGTGTTTGCATGGCTGTGTTTCGGTTTGATGGGTGGGATATGGCGTGAATTTACAGGGTACAGAGGAATAACACCTGAGTCCTCAGGAATGGCAACGCATGGGGGGTATCATGGGTGAAACAGTATATTCTGTTATGTCCATAGTACTGCTCATGTCTATAGGCGACGGTTACCACTATCCATCAGGTGGGCTGTCAGCTTGTTTGCCATTCTAAGTTGTATAAAAAAAATGATCCCGGTGTTTTTATATGAGACATAATTTTTAATTAATATCTAGATTATGCCCACTTGTTTCCCCTCAAGCAATCAAATATGAAT